AAATAATTTGGTGAAAAAAGGCGCAAAGTGGATATGGTCAAAAGAATGTGAACAGGCTTTTAAAAAAATAAAAAGCTGTCTATTAGCAGTTCAATCATTAGCGCATTTCGACCCGAAGAGGAAAATCATTGTAGCAGCAGATGACAGTAATGAGGGACTAGGTGCAGTATTGCTTCATAAATTCAAGGACGGATCTACAAAACCAATAGCACATGCCTCAAGAACATTACTGCCCGCAGAGCGAAGTTACAGTCAAATCGAAAAAGAGAGTTTAGCAATAATCTACGCTGTAAGAAAATTTCACAGGTTTCTATATGGAAGAGAATTTATTCTGCAAACAGACCACAAACCGCTCTTAACAATATTTGGTTCAAAAAAGGTATACCAACACACACGGCAAATCGACTACAGTGTTGGGGTGTAATTCTATTGAATTATAATTTCAAATTGATCACGTGACAACATCAGTATATCATCCAAGATCAAATAGACAGGCGGAAAAATTTGTGGACACCTTTAAGCGAGCGTTGAAGAAACATCAAGACATAGACATGAATGAAAGAAGTATTCAGAAATTTTTGGCAGTATATAGAATCACGCCAAACCCAAATATAACGTCAGTGTTATCCCCAGCAGAGCTAATGTTTGCGAGAAAAATACACTCTGTGTTCGACAGGCTGTTGCCTAGTCCGGCAAAGAAAACTGCTAAAAAAGAAAACCAGATGACTAAAGCATATAAGCCAGGTGACAAAGTTTTTTCAAGAACTTTAGGGCTGGGAAAATGTATTTGGAAGAAGGAATGATAACCAAAAGAATTGGACAGGTCATATATGACATAAAAGGGGAAAAATACCGAAGAGATTCCAATGGAAGTCTTGTATGACGCATTTCAAATTCCCGCTCCAGTAAGTCAACATTCGCCAATGGAGGTATCCCCGACCCCAAGGCCAGAGATACCAGTGTGTCAAATGCCACCACTGCAAGGAGGATTGAGGCAAAATAGACTGAGGAAAAATATCAATTAATTAAGTCCAGACCCTAAAAAGAGAAAATATTGAAACTAAATTTCACAGAAAAATTTAGCTCAGTGGGAGGTGATGTAATAAATATGTATACACATGAGTTCCCCCTCACAGTAATATGATTGGCTGGTGTCAGCCATAAATACAGACTGATGTGGAGGTATATGGATGCCCATTGGACTACGCCATTGGCTATCATTATTGGTCTATGCCTATACCTATTGACTGCGACTACGACAAGTGGCAGTTCCATTACTGCTACCTGCTAGATTGTTCTACTCAGTTATAGTAGCCTAAGCCACTTAGCTACTTCAATCAAATATATCCCTTTCTGGGACATATCACTTATCAAAAGAGAAAGTAATTTACTCAGAAGAAAAATTCTCAAGAGTGCCACTATTGAATCTTATCAAAATATAAATCTATGCCCCAGTTTTTTCCCAAATCTCACCATTCCTGAAAGAATTACTACTCCACCAAGCCAACATACATGACTACAAACATGTTGAAAAATTAAAAGAAAATGGTTATATGACCTCTTGTTTTGAAAGATTTACAGCACACACGTCCATCTCATATTTCATTTAAAAAAAAAAAAAATTTTTTTTGAATATTAATCGCTTACTTTTTACCAAATTTTGAATGATGGCATTTTGTGTCCTCAACATGTTTTGATTGACTTTTCAAGCATCTGATGAATATTCATGAATGTTCTCAAATTTAAAAGCTAAACCAATAAACCAATGACATCCTCATGTTTATATATTTTTATGTGTGAAAAAATAAATCCTACATTGCCTTGATAAAGTCCATCAGAGGATAACATGCACACTGGTTAACAATAGACTTTCCTCTTTATTCATATTATATATATATATATATATTCCTTTTGGTGGGTTATACAACATATCAACATAAACCTGGTTTTTAGGTAAATATCATTTTTGTTTAGTTCTATATGTAAATACTGGTTATTGTAGTCTATAGGTAAGTATTGGTCATTTATATTTGAGTCTTTAAGCATTGACTTGTTAGATGGATGTCTTATCTTTCTACAGGAAATGCAGTGTGTGTGTGTGTGTGTGTGTGTGTATATGTATGTATGTATGTATGTATATATATATATATATACACACAAATAGTAATAATATAAGCTAAAAGCTTAATATACAAAATAAACTGAGGGCTCAATACCAAAGTCAACAGAGACTAAATATTTTATAATAATATTATCAATACCAAAATCTGCTACTCAGAGTTTCATGTAATAACAATTATCAGGTGGAACTACATAAGCAAGCTATTGTTTAATATATACTCCAGGGATGTCAGGTAACTCTTACACTGGATGTGTGTTTTTAATCAAATGTTTATTCTTATGGCAGATAAACTGACATTTGACTGTTCAAAGAAGACTTCAATCTGCTGGTCAAAAAAATTATCAACAGCAAATATGTTATCATCTCTGCAATACTTGTTTCCAGCCAATTTTTTTTTCATGTTGGAGAACAGATCAAGTCAAATCAGGAGAATAGGGAAGGTGATCAACCATTTCAAAGCTACAGGTATGCAATATCAGCCATGGAAGCCAAGGACTTGTGTGCTGGAGTATTGTACTGATGAAACAAAGACCCCTTTCATCAGTTTTCCTGGGTATTTAGTCTTGATCACCTTTCATAACTGCCTCAGCAAGTTGGCATAGTACTCTCCATTGATGGTGTGGCCTTTATGAAAATGGTCAATAAATATATCCCAAAAAACTGAGGCCATCATCTTCCTTGGCCTTCTTTGGAGCACAGGTGAGGTTGGGTGTTTCTACTGCATGGATTATTACTGGCTCAAAGTGATGAAAATCCAAACGTTCATCTTGAGTTGGGAAACATTCAAGGAAACCAGTTGGATCTGCCTTAAACAATGTCAGGTTTTCCCCATGATGTGATCAGCCTAGTAAGACATGACATTTGGCAGAATATTCTCAACTCTTACACACAATATGACAATAGCATTGGCTATGTGATTTATAGTCAATCACCTGTCATCCACCACCATGTAGTGAACATGATCAAGGTTTTCCTCAGTGATGGCAATTGCGGGACGTCCAAACCTTGGTATTAACTTGATGAGACAATAAACATTAAACAACCTATGTATTTGTCTTCACTGAAGAGTTACTTTTATAGAATTAGTTCAAGGGACATAACTGATAACCCACATTGCAGCTCCCTTCATTCAACACACTATTTTTTCTTTTTCAAAGTTGAGATGTATCAAGTACTTCTAACACTTTAAGTATAGAAGCACCTTTTTTCTCAAGGAATCTGCCAATTGTAATTTCTCATCCACCCAAAACACCTTTATTTTCCCCCGTCTAACATCATTTCTCTCAATCTTGCCATGTCCACACTTAATCTTCTGTCACTAATAATGTTTGTAGTTCCCAAAGCAAAACTACACTGTGTACTGCCATTTGTTTACTTGCTTAGACAATAAACATTAAACAACCTAAGCACTTGTCCTCACTGAAGAGTTCCTTTTATAGAAATTGTTCAAGGGAGATAACTGATAATCCACACTTGGGTCATCTTCAAGACTCATTTCTCTTTCTAAATTCAGCTGCCCACATTTGAACAATTTGATAAACCTGGAGTGTCAACCCTTAATGTAATAATGATGTCAGCATGAATGTCCTTATGGACTAAACTCTCTATCTGCAGGTACTTGATAACACTACAATGCCAAATTTTGTCTGTTTTCAAGAGAAGTCCCTACTAGTTACTTTTGAAGTCTTTGAATAATCAAATGTCAGTTGACCTTGAAAGAAACAATGTAGTTATTAATAAGAAGAGTTGAAATTAATGCATGCAAAATTTCACAGCTCTAGCATGACTCCTTCATAAGGAACCTATGAAGTTTTCAGCCCACCCTTGTAAAGCCTGCTCGGAGTCAAGCATATATGTATATGTGTATGGCCAGAGTTGTAGGTTGTAGAAAAGTTTATTTAGGTAATCGTGTAACTTTGGTAAATACTCTTGATGATGAAATTTCCATCCGAATCAATATAAAGTTTCCAGTATTTCATCAACTGTTATGAAGTGGTCAGGATGAAGAATGATAGGATCTTTAAGCAGTTTCTACAATAACCTGGGAAAGGGACAAAAACAAAAACAGTGCATAGACTGAAATTGAAGTATACAGAGTAAATCAGGAACACACAGGAGAAGGCCAACATCTTGTAAAATGACTGGGAAAACATAACTCTCGATTGTTCAATCTGGAGGAAAGCAATAGCATAATGGCAAGTGAGACTTGGAACAGAATTGTGTGGAGCAGGAAAAACCCAAGAGAGATGTTCATACAGGTCTTGATATTAATTAACCTTGAAAATGTAGGCATAAAATTTTATATTAAATGTAATAAATGTGGTCATGTTTAAGTAGTGCAGGCGTCTAAAATCAAAGATACCACAAACAGAAAGAAGTCATTTACTACATGCTACATGGCATTTCTACTTGCAGCGAGTGTGGAAAAGAATGTAACTCCGCTGCTGGCCTAAAACATTATATGAATGTACATCAAAACATTAGTGTAAAACCTACTGTAAAAGATAAGCAAAACTGTCACATCAGCAAATGAAAATTTAAGGCTCTAGCAGGAGTAAAAAAAATCGCAGTTTTTCTCTGCTAAAGCAAATAAATCAAACACTGGCATTACTCAAACTCGAGTTGCCACCATTATATGACTGTCTATATATACTTAGTACATTCCCAAACCTTTTCTTCATTGTTAAAGTAACTGATTTTGGTATCTGATTAAAATGTTTTGCAAGTCACTCTTCTACAATCACTTAAAGGGAGAAACTTAAAATTGTTTCAACCGTAGATTCCAGACATTTAAGCGTTTCCTCTTTTGTCTTCTCTAAAGATGTTGAAAAAGAAATAATGAAAAAAATAACAAATTATCAAAAAGAGGCAGATTCACCTTGTGGAAAGAAGAATCCTGGTAACCAAAAGGATTCTGGTTGCCCTTTCTTGATCCATGTATCCAGAAATGAACAGCGAGCAATCAGGTCTTGAATCCAGCTGCCCAGGGCCTTCATAGATGGATAAGCAACGTTGGTCCACATCTGGGGCACTTCATTATCAAGAAAAGACTGATACATCATCTCGAGTTCCAAGCTCATAACCACATTACCTTTGATAGCCTGTTTCAGTTGATATACTGAATTCTAAAAGGAAACAAAGCAAAAATATTTCTTACAGTAGCAGTTCAAACATTTGACCAAAATATCAACAAATCTCATATAAGAAATACATTCCTTAGGTTTCAAAGTAATGTGAAGGAAGGAATGTATCACAATATACAGTACACACACCAATCCTTGTTGCATATGTGACTCTATAGTCAGATTACTCAGGCTAACCAATGGGCATTGCTGAAGGTGTTTTCAATCAACAATTGGATTATATATCAATGAAAGAATTTCACCCTTTCCAATGAGTTTTGTTTTTGCCTGAATAAGATCTATGGTAAAGTGTGTGTGTATCATTATGCTAGACAAGTGATGGCACCAGGGTCAATTGTGGAAAAGTAACAAATATTTAGAGGCTGTGTAATGATTTGGCCAATATTTTGCAGAGAAATGCAGGGTTGTATCGTTCACATAGCAGATACTCTGAGCCACCTTCTTCAACATCCTTGAAAAATATAAACATCCCTGGATGGAAACATTCTTTGGCAAGTGGCACCTTCCTGCTGGAAGGTGCAACCTACAAAACTGTATATGGGAATGATTTTAAAAACAAGAAAATGACTTCACTGTGTTCCCCTGTCCACCATCACCCAAGATTTTATTCCTTTTGAACTCTTACAGATGTTCTTGATCAACAAGCTTGCTTTGCAGAACCTTCACCATGAAAGACCTACTGTTAATATATTGGCATCCAATACCAGAGAAAACCTTTAGTTAGTGACTTTTTTTAAAGTTCATGCCTGATCAGGTCAAAGCTGTATCATGGACACATGGAGGATTAACATATAAGTAAGCAGATGTTGGTCATCTTGGCTCATCAATGTGTATATATATATATATATATATATATATATATTAAAATGGTCCTTTTTATTTTTATTATTATTTTCATAATCATCTACATTTTTTTTTAATTATAATGGTTATGATGTGATGACATTGTTCCACTTTATGAAATGAATAGACATCTCAATGTATATTTTTTGAATATGTTCAGTCTTTTTTACTTGTCATATCTGAGTAGAGAGAGAAAGTATGTTCTAGGTCAACCTGTCAACTGAGTGCTTAACACTTTTCTTTCCCTCTCTAACTCTCTTTTCCTTCCCCCAACCCATGTCTATCTCTCTCTCTTTCTCTTCCCTCATAAAAAAACCTTATTTTCAAATCTCTGTCTTCTCTTCTTATTTTTAAAACTCTTTCCTTTTCTTTTTTTCTCTTTCTTCCACTCTTTTTCTTTTTCCTTTTCTTTTTTCTCTTGTGTCTGGAATAATTTAAAATCCATTTATTGTTGTAAAAGTTTTTGGTCTGAAGAGATGGGTGTCTAATCTCATGAAATAAGCTATTACCTATGGAGTCCTAAGGACTCTGCTTTCATTATTATATTTGCTCTGTTCTTACATTGAGCTCTTTTTGGAGCTATATCCTCCTTGGAATTATCCCTACAAATAATCAATTAATATTTGTAATTGCTCCTTATACTCATAAGTTAAGCTCCCATTGGAATATTCCTTTCTGATTTCATTACAAATCCACAGTTTTACCAAAAAATGGAAAAAATTTACTCCAGCCTACTCCCTGAAAAACATTCCCTACCCTTCATTACATTCTTTCACTCACTAATAAAATCATTGACCTTATAAAAAGATTATGATGGAGAACTTATTTTTACTTAAACCCTCAAGATGCACTAAATTGCAAAAAGGAAAAATATAGTCTAAAATCTCAAAATATTCCACCTAATAATAAACTTCTAGATCTTTTCGAAGGTGACATGTCTAACTTAATTAAAAAAAAAAATTACCTTTAAGATGTCATCTAACCAATTCCAATATAAAATAAAATAAAAAAAATATTAAAGACATAAAAAATTCTAAGAAATTGTGGATTGACAATAACTTACAATCCTGATTAATAAATCCTTCTAAAACTGAGTTAAGCTTAATTTCAAAAGATATACTTAAAAGAATAATACAAACTATACAAGAAACCTATTGTATTAATCTATGGAAACATTCTTCAGATACTATTAAATGGTTCTGAAGTATCAAAAATAAAAATAAGGCTACTTTTATTCAATTTGACATTATTGATTTCTACCCCTTCATTTCAAAAATCAGATTAAATTTTGCCAAAAATTATATTAACATTACTGATGATGAACTTGAAGTTATTGTAGCATCTATGGGAGCATATGATTCCACAAAAATCACTGATTTAGTGTGTATATATATATATATATATTAGACACCCTTAGTAGGATTATTGACAGTAATTAGGTAGGTCTTTACTGAGATGGACTTATTGTTATTCTAAATAGTAATGGTTCTCTACCTTCTAAAATAAAAAAAAAAGACCATAAGAGCTTTCCAATTTCTGGGCTTAAAATTGAAATCTCTTCTAACCTTAAAATTATTAACTTCTTAGATATTATTTTCAACCTTTCTAATAATACATTCAAACCATTTCATAAAGAAAATCAAACCCCCATTTATATTAATGTCAACTCTAATCATTCTAAATCAATAATTAATCAAATTCTTAACACTGTTAATACTAGGATTAAGAGACTATCATCTAACAGTAAAATCTTCAATGAAATTAAATTTACTTATAATGAAGACCTCATAAAAAGTAATTTCAAACAAGAATTAAGTTACCAAGAAGCTTTGAAAAATAATCCAACTAATAAATCCAAAAACAGAAAAAGAAAGACAATATGGCTTAACCCACCTTTCTGTATTGATATTGGCAAAATTTCAATAATAGCAATCCTTTAAGAAAAATTTTCAATGTGAAAACTCTAAAAATTAGTTACTCCTGTATTAGTAATATAGACAGTTCACATAATAACCTTCTATTAAAGAAATTTCATAGCAGTGAAACAGGAAAATGAATTTCCTTGTAATTGTAAAACCAGAGTTGACTGTCTGGTTGTGGGTATTTGTACTTATGAAAATGTAGTATATGAAGCTACTATTTTTCCAAAGGAAAATATCAACCAGAAAAAAGTATATATAGGAATATCAGCTGAATGTTGGATGCAAAGATTTTACAACCATCAGCATTCTTTCACCAATGCATCTTTGAGATACCAAACGACTGTCTAAACATTACTGGAATCTCAAAGATGGAGGCTTCACCCCACAAATAAAATGGGGGATCATCTGTCAATCTTGAACACCCAACAACTTCAAGGACAGATGCAATCATTGCATTAAAGAAAAATTATAATTAAATATGGAAACACTGATGAATTATTGAACCAACGAAATGAACTTATCTTCAAGTGTAGACATAAGAACTGTTTCAAAATTCACAAATAACATTTATTTTGAAGAATTTTATACTTGAAATATTGGATGTTTTGTATGATACATACATGTATTCACAGTGTTTCTATAAGATCATTATGTGGTTTTCTTCCTTACATCAACTATAACCTTAAATTCTGGATTAATTTTAGTATCTTTATCCATAATATTAATTTTTTGTTATTATATATATATATTTTTTTTAATTTATATTATTGTTTTATTAATTTTACTATTAACCTTTATTATTAACATATACTTTTGTGTATGCATGCATGCATATGTATTTATGTATAGTTGTTTGTGTTTTTTGTATATGTGTATGTGGATATATGTGTACGTTTATGTGTATATGCTTATATGTACATGTATGTATACCTATGTATGGATATTTTTTTAGAAGGAAGTATGTTCTAGGTCAACCCATCAACTGACTGCTTAACACTTTTTTCCTACGCTTACTCTCTTTTCCTTCCACTATGTCTCTCTCTCTCTTTCCCCATAAAAAAACCTTATTTTGAAATCTCTGTCTTCCCCTCTTATTTTTAAAACTCCTTCCTTTTCTTTTTTCTCTTTCTTTCACTCTTTTTCTTTTCCCTTTTTTTGTCTGGATAAATTTAAAATCCATTTATTGTAAAATTTTTTGGTCTGAAGAGATAGGTGCCTGATTCATTTTCATTATTATATATGTGTGTGTGTGTGTGTGTAGTGGGAGAGAGAGATAAAAGATTAATGCAAAGAGCAATTAAAAAAATTAATTTTTATATTTTTCTCACAGATATATTGCCATTCAGTCAGACATGATGTAAGTAAAATTGTTGACTTATATAATACATAATACTTGCTGTGTCTGTTTAAATGTCTGTATACAGTTACACATTAAGATTTTATTTTTTAACATTCTGCGCCAACCACCAGAGATTTGTCACTCCCGCATTAATCTTGTTGAAGTGATTATCTTCAAAAATTAAACACTTCTGCCCCAGCAACATAAATTTGAATTGAAAACATAATAATTAAACTAAAACTGCAATTTGATTTTTTCCATATTAATATCTTGTTAAACTTAAAGTCAAATATTTTCTTACATTTTTTTTCAGTGTGATATTATCAGTTAAAGAAGTAGTGTAGCTGTGGCATTCATTGGACATGGGGTCAGATTTAACATCACTTGACAGTAGAATGATTGAGTAATCTATCTTTGGCATGGGAACATTGCATAGAATCACATTCAATGACTGCCCTGTTTATCATGTATGGTTTTGTTGTAGTTGCCAACCAACAAGATTACCATAATTGACAAAATGGCATTAATTGCCATTACCTCAGCTGGGCCAGAGAAAATTATTGCAGGAACTCTGAAGACTGGTGCTATATTTCCTAGTCCAATTTTAGTCACATTTCCAGCACTTTCAGGCAGATGATGAAGCTTGTGTGTGAAGATGAGGGCATAAGGCTATGTATCTAGCATGTCAAGCTGGTGATGTCCCTGTACTTGTATGATGTGTTATCGGTTGGAGTACACAAGGACTCCTAATGAAACTGGAATCACTTTTTCATAGGTACGACATAAACAGATCTTGTTGCAGATTATTTGCAATCCTCTATTTCTCACCATGT